TCGTACTGCGTGGAGATATACACACATACTCGCGGTCAAAACAACGTCGATTCGAACGCGAAGCGTAAAAATGCGCTTTCCCGGTTGTGTAAATTCAGCTACGCGCTGATAACTCAACACGAGTATTGAGTTACTCTCACCCACCACCTTCGTGCGTATTCGCTGCGGATATTCGATGTCGCGCCCCCGCGTTTTCTCTCTCTCTCTCTTTCTCTTTCTCTCTCGTTGTGTCTCTCGTTCAACGAAATTTGAGCAAAAAAATAATTATACGTGTGTAGGGGTTATAATCAAACTAACGTTCTTGAAGTATGAAACAAACAAGAAAAAATGAAAGAAACTATGCTGAAGAATATTTACCAAAAAAAAAGGAAAAAATGTTCGCGAATCGTTCGGAATTTTTTCTTAAATTATTAACTTTCATCCTTTTGTTTCTTTAATTCGAATTAAAACGTAGCAGCAAAGTCAAATTGTTTATAAATTTTTCCTCTTATTTGCTTAATTTTATCCTGCATAAATATATTTTCGCAAAAGAGAGATACCAAATTTTCTATACGTGGCACGCGTACAAGGTGAGACTATTAAATGCAAATATTTAAAACAATTTTCCTTTTCGCGAAAAGATAACAAAGAATGGTATATATCGTTTCAAAAAAAAAAATTGAAATCACAAAATTAGCTTTACTTTCTACAATTATATCATATATATATATATAAGTTTTGTCTAGAATTTTGTATATTATTCATCTATAAATAATAATATATATATTTTATTACGATTAAATAACTCGCCCTATATAAAACGATGAACCTGATATGTATGTACCTACATACGTAGCGTTACACACGTGAAAAGATCTATTCAAAAATCCAACATGTAAAAAATGCATATGTGTTAATTCTGTTTTATTTATCACATCGGTAACAACGAATGCGATTTTATCTGGCCATAGATTGACACGATATTTTGCCACTTTTTCACCCTTGTTTTTTTTTTCCTTTCTCTCTCTATCTCTCTCTCTTTCATACACACACACACACACACATGCACACATTCAGTCTCGTCCTCTCTTTTTAATCCGCTCTCCACGTCATGTAATTCAACCGCATAGACCGCTCTCGAAAATCGCCGGCATATTTTCGTATCGCGGCTTGTTTTCCATGGTAGGAATTTTTAATCGCGAGTTAAAGCGAAGCAGGAGGCTTCTGCGCTTCGGCAACGAAACGAAATATTCGAGATATTTCGTCCGATTGACTACCGAGCTCATTTACTTTGACGGAATAACGTTTTAGTCGGGGTTGGTACCGCGTAGAGCTAACGAACGACGCATCGAATTTATATTAATTCCCTCCCCCCTCCTCCTCCTGCCCCTCTCCATCCCTCTCTTTCTCTCTTTGGTTCCATTAAAAAGCACGAATTATTGTAGCAAAAGCGTATTACTTTTACCTAATTTTCGATAAAACGCCGATTATATTTATAATAGTCTACGTTGAAGTCTAATCGAAGTATTGAAAAAGATAATAAAATAAGAGTTGAAATATCACGTAGGAAAAAATAAAAGGTCACGCGAAAGACACCACGGTAGTCGGTGAACGCAAGTATAACCTTTCTTATTCGTATATATATATATATATATATATATATATATATATATATAAAGGTGGTAAGATCGTCATCGAGTTTTAATTAAATCGAGAATCTGAGTGTCATTAATGACAAGTGGCGCCCAATCTCGATGACTCCGTGATTTCTATCAAGCTCATGCTGCGAACCACGCTGAGAAGGTCGAGACCGCTCGCGGTGGGCCCTTTAACTGACTGGGTCCCTGGTTGCTTCTCCGTAGCACCTACAACGACAATCACAAATCCAACGGGGCACATCGTCGTGTAAGAAATATACCGCCCTGTTAATGTTAAAGGTTCCAATCGAACAAAAAAAATTTACATAATAGATCCTCCCGCCGCGTACTTCGACAAAGTAAAGATCATCGCGAGAATGATTTTCTATCATCGAAAGTGTAAAAATATAAATTTGACCTTCGATTATAAAGAGACAGGCAGACTAATCAATCGTTTTATTGTTACTTGCTCGACGACGACATCCTCTTCGGTTTGTATCATAGAAACTTAATGGAATCTTCGATATTTTTGTATTTGTATTATTAGAAAAAATGATACTACTATGTCATCGGATTGATTATATTGATTATACGAAGTCCGGTGTTTGATTAAATGAACGTTACGATTGTGATCTTGCAATCGTCATCTTTCTATTACCTAGATGATCTATTAAAAAGAAATGATTGTTTAGTAGAAAACGAAGGATTAATATAATAAAATGAAACAAATAACAAATCGTTTTATCGGTCAATCTATATATATATACATTCTGTCATTAATTTATTTTCGGATCTACATAAATAAATTTCACGACAGTGTTCACGCCTTTCCCGACAATGTTCAGGTTCGATCGGTTAACCGATAGGCAGAAAAACATTAACAAACACAAGTTCGATTAACGTTTTCGTCGTACGATTTCAAATACGACCAATGACGATATGATCGAGAAAGAAAGAAAGAAAGAAAGAGAGAGAGAGAGAGAAAGGGAAAAAAGGAGGAAGAGAGAGAGAGAGAGAGAGAGACCGTGCCACCACAACGGTAGAAGGCCCCATAAACTTTCGTGTCTCGAGATAGGAATCGTCAGGTGCGAAAAGCGTGACGGTTCTACGGGGAAAGCGTCCCGAAAGACCTACGCCTTACCTTGCCTTGTCTTACCTTCACGTCCGCGTGAAACAACGATGTCCGCTTTTTCTTCTTCGTATATATAAATATATATATATACATAGTTTTTAACAAACGCCTTGCGCGAGAACTACATTTATCATTCGCATAAGATAATCAAATACGATCTGCTCGTGTGCACATTACGAACGTTCAAGGGATACTGTTACTTGTGCATTCGGTATACGGTCAAGAAATTTTCAAAATATCATAATATAGAACGGACTTTGAATTCTAATCTTATCGTATTATTTAAACGCGTATAATAATATAAAAGAAAATTTATTAGACAGTTTTTTTTTTTCAAGTGATGTAATAACAAATTTATATAATATAATTTATACAACTTTAACGAATTTTTATTGGAAATACTTTTGAGATACAATTCTTCGTCGTAGATGGGACAATCATTCTACTCTTGTAGTTAATCTCTTTTAATATTAGAAAAAGAAAAGAATCTCGATTGACCTCTGTTCACGTTTATTCGATATTTAGATTAATCAAAATCTTACTAATCCGTTGTCAAACGTACGAATCAAATCGAGTTTAAATGTGCAATAGAATATTGATTTATTCGCGTTATTTATCCCTCGATCATCCTGTTTAAATCAAAGTCCTATTATATTTGATTAAATTCAATCAAATGCTAATAATTATTATCGATTTGAAAATGACTTCATTAAATTCATTAATGACACTAACGGTTCTATATAAATTTGCTTGTCCCACTTGCACACAATTCGTTAGTAATAGTCTAATATTAAAAAAAAAAAAAACATAATATATCTATAAGTAAATACAAAAAATGGAGAAAAAAACGAGTATGACATACAAAGAACGAGGAACTTACAAAATAGGTGAACGACGACAATGAAGACGACAACGACGACGACGACGACGACGACGGTGGTGGCAGCAGGTTGATGGACGCCAAGATTCATGAGAAAATCTGAACGGTGGGGATGACTCGCGCTAGACGGCTAGAGTAGCACGGTACTCGTCACTCGACGATGCTTCGTAGTATCGTCGAAGAGCGGGAGGTTAGATAAAGAGAGAAAAAGATATACTAGATGAGATAGAGTGAGTTGAACTGGGGGAGGGGGAGAGGAGAGTAGGTCTGAACTAGATAGGTGGGGGTAAGTAAGTACCTTTGCTAGCACAGCGAACTTAGGTTGCTTCGACGATAAGCGAGGACAGAGAATGAAGTATAAGAAAGAGAGAGAAAGGAAGATAGAATGAATGGGTGAGGAAGAGAGAGGGAGAGAAAGAGAGATGGGTAGATAGACGCGGAACCGGTCGTGGGAACAACGAAGAGAAAAAGAGAAAGAGAATACATATATATATATATATATATATATATATATATATATATATATAGGTAACTATCAGAAAGATGGATAAGGACAGGAGACATGGGGAGGGATCAAAAAGAGTGTTTTGGTAAGGGCCATTTGTTCATATTCACCCGCGCATATATTGGCAAAGAAAGAAAGAAAGAATGAAAATAAAGAGAAGAGAGAGAAGATTTCTTTGTTTTCTAATTTCTCTTTCCATTGGCGTGTGTTTCAGCGCTAGCACGACTGTCAACCCTCCAGAAGCAGCAGCAGCAACAACAACAGAAACAGCAAAAACAGCAGCAGCAGCAGCAGCAGGAGTCTCAACAGCAACAGCAGCAGCAGCAGCAGCAGACGAGGGTCGCCAGTGGTAGTAGTGGTGGTAGTGGTAGTGGCGGTGGTTGCGGTGGAGGTGGTGGTGGTAATAACGGTAGTGGGGATGTCGTCTCCAGCCCCCGTGCCACTGGTAGGGAGGACAAAAGCGCCGTAGGGAGGGTAAAGCAGGCAGCTTCGACGACGCCGACGACGATGACGACGGTGACGACGACGCCGGCAGGCAGCACCGTTGGAGAAGGAGGCGGAGGTGGAGGAGGAGACGTCACCGGTGTCGCTGGAAGTGGAGGTGGTGGTTGTGGTGGTGGTGGTGGTGGTGGCGGTGGTAGGAGTAGTAGCACTGGTGGGGAACGTAACGGCGCTGGCGGTGCCACTGCCGACGGCAGTGGTGGTGGTGGTAGTGCTGGTGGTGGTGGCGAACTCGCGGAGAAGGAGGAGAGGCCACCAGCTTCAGAGACTGTCGAGCCGACGGCCGCGTTTGACGTCGCATCCCTCGTACTCTACGGCTCGCGCGCACTACCGATACGCCTTAAGATCTTGCTCGATCAGTTGTTCAACCAGTTGCCCCACGCGCAAGTGACACGTCTCCTAGCCGCCTTTGGCTGGACCTACGAGGATTATACGCGAGGATACATACTGCAGGTGAGTTCCCCTCTCTCTCTCTCTCTCTCTCTCTCTCTCACTCTATGTTTTTCTTACTCATTCACTCGTTCACTTTCTTTCGTTATATTTCTATTTTTCTTCCTCTATTTCCTCTATTATCCTCTACACATCTCTACCTTTCTTATCCCTTATCCTTTTAAGAAGGTATCACTTCCTTTCGTCTTATCTTCAAAAAACACCTTGGACGACAGCGAAACTTTCGAACGAATTCAACACGTGCGACAAGTTTGACATTTGATCCGTCGGTGCGCAACCTCGTGGATTCGTTTAAAGAGGATAAAATGAAATAACAGAAGTAACTAGGGGAAATCAGAAGAGGATAGACGTTGACAAGTTCTATCAGCACTATTATCGAACTTGATTTACTGCCAGTTTATTTTCCGTCAATCGTGTGTCACATCAGAGAATGGGAGAGAGAGAGAGAGAGAGAAAAAAAGAGAGAGAGAGAGAAAGAGACTAATGTGTCTCGAACATATATCGGAATATTATATACATCTCGGGAGAATTGGATCTATCAGTGATACGATAGTGTGTCGAAAGAAATGATCATTTTAATGATAGAATACGGAGAAAAATAAGTGTCAACGTTAATATGAAGGGAAGAAAAATAAGTGAATCGTGGACGATAAGTGACTCGGTGGATAGCTCGTTTTTAATTATCGAAACGAGAATCGTCGTATCGATGTTAAATGTGAATCGCATGCTCGACGATATGTAAATACGCGAGGAGAATCCCGTCGGACTCGTTCGAGTAAACGTGTCTCATTCGCTAAACGAACAACAGGAAAAAAGAGAGAATTCGATGGTAAAAGAAACGAATTTAAGATACAAGCAAATATAAACGTCAAGAAAAAAAGAATGTAGGACTCCTCGTGTATTTCGATTTACACAAATGCAGTCTCGTTCGATCGATATCCACCACTCGGTGGTGTGTCAACATGTATAAAAGTAAGTGAGAAGAGAAAAATCATCTTATTCGCATTTAAGGAATGTCCAAGTCGTCTGATCAAAGTGACAAACAACGAGAGTGCGCCGAAGCGTCGCGAAGAAAATTTCGTTGACTGTTAAGTTCGTCGTCCATGAAGTATAATAGTGCCGAACGAAGAAGAAAGGGAAAAAAGGGAAGGAATGTAAAGCGGAAGTCGTCGAAAAAGGAGAAAAAGAAACGAAATGGTAATGAACACCGTGGTATTATGATAGGATCTTTGAAAAGGGGAATCGTCGCTTTTTGTGCTGTGACGATCCTCTCACCACGATCTTACGTTTTGTGTGTTACGATTTTTGTTTCTTTGCCATTTATTTGCTAACACTTGCTCGTTTCGAATCGATCCTTCGTAATATCGATAACAACGATATTTTCATCGATTATCTTTTTTTCGATTAGAAACTTAACAAAGTGTAACGAACCTAACGAATAAAACGTAAATGTATATATAAATATACATAGAAACCAATGAGATAGAGATAGAAATAGAAAGAGAAAAGAACACGACGTTCCACTCGTTGAAATCGTCGATGTGAAGTTAAAATAGAGGACGTTTATACGATTTAGATTTTTTTTTATTTTCACGTGCCGGAAATAACGAATACGACTACAACGACTGCGACGACAACGACTACGATGACGACGACGAAGACGAAGACGAGGACGAGTGTGCGATGAGGAGGAGAAGGAGGATGAGGATGAGGATGAGGATGAGAATGAGGAGGAGACCGTTCGCGTTGTTGGTAAAAATCGGCAAGTAAGTACGCGGCCCGAGGTAGTAGTAGGTACCCATCTCTCGAGCTTAGACATTAATCTTAGCGAGACGCGTTAGAAAATGGGGAGTATCCGTGTAAACTGAATTGCGCCGATGTTGGCGTGAAATTAAAACGTACGGAAAACCGGTTTCTTCCACGATACACGAAGCTTTAAACGCGGACCGACCGGGACACACGACGCGTACCGATCTCTTTCTCTCTCTCTCTCTCTCTCTCTCTCTCTCTCTCTCTTTCTCTCTCCTATCTATCTTTTTCTTTTTCACAATCTCCGTTGTACCGTACCGGTGTAGAAGACTCTCCGTACCGACGTTGTAAGATCGCGCTCGCGCGCTCACGACCCTGGAATTTAATCGCGATGAATTTTACACGCGAGTATACTTAAAAGCGAGATCCTGCCATCGAGATCGTCCCCGATTTTACACGTGTTCGATCACCGCCGATGATGCGATGCCAACCTTGTATCGATCAAAATTTCTTGCCAAGAATCATTTTTAATATATGAAAAACTTACCCCAACACATATTTTCATTTCTTCAATAAAATTTCTTCAATATCCTCTATTATGTATTTCTAAGATCTATGGATAACGAGTTTTTGATAATGAACTATAAGAAGAGAGCGTTATGCTCGTCCCATTTAAACGTTAGTTGTGTGTCGATCGCTTATAGTAAGCGCACGTGGCTAAAGAAGTCGTTTTGTACCGTAGGTCGGGAAAGAACGTATGATTACTTAAAACGACACGTACGTGCCCGGAATACCGAAACGAGAGCCCTACCCTACGAATTAGGCGAACGTAATGTCTTACCAGCTTCCCCTTTAAATAACTCTAAACGTTACTAATTCTAATCTATCTTTCTCTTATCGCTGTGATTTTCTTCTCTTTTTCTTCAATATAATATTATAATAAACCGATAAATTGTTCACGGTTATTATAAATTGAACATTAAAAAAAAAAAAAAAAGTAATAGAATAATAAGAAAATCAATCGAAAATTTCACGAAAATAACATTCTACAATAGGATACGAATTTTTTTATGAGAAAAATAAAATAAAAAGGACAAAAAAAAAGATCATAAGAAGAACACTGTCGGACGCCCAGATTGTACGGTTTAACGATAGCGGAGCAATGGCTATCCCACGAGTATTACACCGTAAAATCAGTCGCGTAGAAAGTTTCGAACGGTTAGATCGTAACGCAAAGAAGAAAATCGCGATGTACATCGTAGGGAACTATTCTAACTCTCGAGTCAAAGTGGACGTCAATTTCGTTGGCGTACTGAAAGATGGTAAACGGTAGTGGAACGGCAGGAACATCCAGTAACAGTAAGAAATAGAATGAGAGAGAGAGTGAGTGAGAGAGAGACAGAGAGAGAATGAGATAGTGAGAGAGTGAAAGAGAGAGAGAGAGAGAGAGAGAGAGGTATGTTGTGGAATTCAGTAGGATTTTACAGGGGCACGAGCGTAGCCAGTTTAACTGGCGGACGATACTACTACCGGGGCACTGGACGGAAAGGCCATCCGGTACAAACGCGAAACCAACGCCGCAAACAGCCAACCAACCACCGCCTCCTCTTCTCCGCTCGTTCGTAGACTTGCTGAGATTTACGAGCGAGTTGCGCTCTCGGACCCACGAGCGGCCGACCGCGTCACGAATCGCTCCAACACTTGCTTCTTCTTCTTCTTCTTATATTATTATTATTATTATTATTATTCTCTTATTCTTCTTTTTATATTTCGCGAGAGCGCCGCCGATAAAATCCATTTCTCTTTCTCTTACTCTTTCTCTACCCCCCTTTATTTCATCGTCCTTTCTCTCTCTCTCTCTCTCTTTCTTTCTTTCTTTCTTTCTCTCTATACGTTTCTCTGTCCTACCTCGAATAACCGTGAAAGAAACGAGTGCGACTAATTTCAACTGTGTTTATCGTTTAGCTGAAGAATTTCCAATAAAATTATCGAACGATATGAAAGATCGATCAATTTTTTCTTGTTCCATTTTTTTTTTGTTTCATGTAACCTGATTTGATTCATATTCTTTTTATCCTTTGATTATTTTTGCAAATGTTTTATATTACGGATTTGAAATTATATTAATGGATAATTGTAATGGCTTGTGTATAAATTTCATCAACTGATATTACTCTAATCTCTTTTTTATTTTCTTTTTTNATGTTTTATATTACGGATTTGAAATTATATTAATGGATAATTGTAATGGCTTGTGTATAAATTTCATCAACTGATATTACTCTAATCTCTTTTTTTTTTTTTTTTTTTTTTTTTGTTTTTGATTTATCTAGTAAAAGAAAGGCGAGACGATAAATCATCTTTTTCTCTTTCTTTCTTCTTCTCGCACGGTTTCAAGCAGCGAAGTATAACAACGATCTCGCACGAATACGTAATCATTTCTCACGCACAGGTGGCCCAAGCTCGAAAATATTTGTACTCTCCCTCTCTCTCTCTCTCTCTCTCTCTCTCGTTATATTTGACGTGAGTTACAAGAAAATGTATGAAGTATAGAAAGAAAGAGAAAAAATAAATGGAGAAAAGAGTAGAATTAACGAAAAAAATAAAAAGAAAGGAAGAGAGAGAGAGAGAGAGTAAGAAAGAAAGAGAAAGAAAGAGAGAGAGAGAGAGAGAGAGAGAGAGAGCTATGATAGAAGACACGAAAAGGGAAAGAAACCACCTTCGAAGATGGTAGCTCAAAGAACCGATCGACCTGTCATTACTCCACCTCGATGGGAGCATGAGCCAAAACCGTAAATTACGGAGGTGAGCCGTGGAGGTAGTAGAAGCTATCCCTTTCACAAAAGAAAGAGAGAGAGAGAGAGAGAGAAGGAAGAATCCATTGGAGCGTAAACAAAAAAGAAGTTTGCAAGGACGCGCGAGTCGAATAAGGAAATTAAAACTCAGGACGTGTCATTTATGTCAACTATTGTTAGTCGATTTTATTGAAGGTAGAAAAAGAAAGAGGGGGAGAGAGAGCGAGAGAGAGAGACAGAGAGTGAGAGAGAAATAAAAATAGGAAGAAGAGTAAAAGAAATTCGAAGTCGAGAAAAAAAGGAAATAAAGGACGAAAAAACGTCTTCGTACTGATTTCGAAGAGAACGCGATAAATTATAGCGTTTATCTCGAGTGGTCCAAGGAGTAGTTGTCGAATTCTGACAGAAAATCAAGTGGATCTCTCGATCGAGAACGGTCCTCGTGTATCATTAACTTTACTTCGCTGAGGATCATCAAAAAATGAAGTAAGAAAAATTATAATGAAGATGAACAAAATGAAGAACGTTTTTAATGGTTATGGGGGGAAGGGCGGGGAGGAAGGGATGAGCCTTTTGCGATTATTGTTCGTGATATCCTTTCAACGTGATAAAACATTTTTCTTCCTCTTCTTCTTCTTATTCTTCTTCTTCTTTATAACTACGGTACTTTTTCCTTTTAATGTTTAATCTTTCTTTTTTTTCCTTTTAAAATAATACTCAAAATGCGTGTCGTACGTTAATCGATCGTCGTAGTCGTAGTCGTCGTCTTGGTGGTTCGTGATCCGTGGGTAATAATCGCAAATCTTCGAGAGTTGAGCATACACACTCTTAAAAGAATTCGCTCGAGGGCAGAATGAATTACCTGGCGATAATGATTAGTTAAATGCAGAGGACCGTACGATCAAAGTTACATTGTTCATCCTTCGACATTATGAATTGCTTTCGTCGTCACGATTTTCTCCCGAGTTGGTTAGGAACCAACTCTTTCTTTTTTTTTTTTGCTTTTTATTATTATTATTATTAATATTTCTTCTTATTTCAAAAGTTAAAAAAAATGGAAAAAAAATCGACTAGACGTAATTTTCGAAAACGACATTTAATGATACGTTACGTACGACCGAATAAAATTTATTACGAATCGATGGATTCGGTCGCGTTAAAAAAGATTTCTTTGACGAAAAAACAAATACTTTTCTTTTTTCTTTCTTTCTTAATTCTCGTTTTAAATCGTTATGACAAAAAGAAATATTTGGGTACGAGTTTTTCTAAGAACGTAATTTAAAATAAAGAATATAATTCATCGGGCTGCGGCGAAAAGTTAAATTTGATCGTTCGAATAGAAATTCGTCAAATCTGATATTCGATAGTCAAAGTCGGTCCTCTCTCTCTCCTATCGAGCCCGTACGAATATAACGCATGACGCGTTTGCGACGCGAGCTCGAAAGTGTGTAATAAAAACGAGCTCGTCGCGCGATAAGTAAACCGCTTGAATTATCGGCTCCGGTCTTTCAAAGAAAACAAAGCCTCTTGCCAAGTTCTAGACGGGATCGACGGAAAAGCGATATCGGCGAACACAGAGGGTTGTTTGGTAGATGATCAGTGAGAATTTCCTTAGAAATTTCCAGGACGCTATTCTATTTTTAATCGAATATCAAAGATGGAAAACATGTTGGATATTTAAGTCCTCGCTCGAGATAATCTTAAACTTATCGTCGCTTCGGGCTTTTCAATCATCTATAAATATCTAGATAATAACAATAATAATAAATTCATACATATATATGTATATTTATATAATAAATAGTAATAAAATAACAAATGTTATATAGTTTAATTTAATTAATTAAATATCGCAGACAAAATTCGACGTTTATTATTGCAAACACGTATAACGATAAAATACAATAGTTAGATCGATGGAAAATTATTAATAGAACAAATATGAAATGAAATTATTGACAATAATAAATAGTCTAAAAGGGTTTGAAATTTCTCTTTGTTAGATACCGACAAGACAGGTACGATAGGTACAACTGAGTCACGATTGACGATTCGATGATTTCTCTGACGGTCTTGCTAACGAGAACGAGCTAGCTCTCACAAGTTGAAGAAAGGAAGAGATAGATAATACACAACACATATATATATATATATATACGTTGTATGTATGTATGTATGTAGAAGGTTCGTAAAGGAGAGAAAGGCGAACTAGGGAAGGAGTTTTAAAAAGATTGAGAGAGAAAGATAGTTTAATATCGAAAGGAGACAGAAGGAAGAGACGCAGGTAGTCGCGATCCAATTTAGTGGCGGATATCCACGCGAGATCTTCACGATTTCTACACACGAATAAGACGGAACTCGCCGACCGTGAAATCATATGCAGTTGTCCAGTCACGGATGGCATTGCCTTTTCGATCGCTAAAACCACCGCCACTGCCAGCGCCACCGCCTCCACCTCCACATTCACCGCCACCTCCACCTCCACCGCCACCGCCAACGCCAACGCCAGTTCTTCTCAAGACATGTTCAGGGACCGTGCCGATAGATGGCAACACCAACTGGAAGCAACATTTTTTCCCCGCCCCTTTCGAGTTGCGTATACCGGAGACAGCGAATCATCGTCGCGGGTACCACGCGTGACGTGTCGCGCGCGCGCGCGCGCACGCGAGAATGAGACTGGACGATGATCATCGGTCTCGCCAGTATATATATGTTATGAGAATTCTTTTTTATTTTCTTTTTCTTTTTTTCTTAGAAATCTTTTTCAAACGACCTTATGGAGATTGTTTCCTCGTACGCGGGTAGGGGGGGAGTGGAAAGGGGATATTAATTTGTTATATTTGTCGATACTTTTGTCAGAAATTCATTTGTATTTTTTGTTGTTGTTTTGTTAGATTATTTTTTAATTTTCTTACGAATTTCTTCGATTCGTTAGAAATTCTTTAAAATTAGAAACTACGTTTTGAATTGAACGTAGCCGTGAGTATAAATAGTCGAGATAACGAAGACATTATACAGCATCCACTTATGTTAGGGTTAATAATAGCTGCTAGGAGAAAAGCTCGACGGTGGACGGCGACGACGAAATCTCGTTCGTGTCGTCCAAGAGAATCTTGTTTCACCCTTTTCTATCTCTTTCTCTCTTTCTCTCTTTCTTTCTCTCGTTCTAGATGGTATAAAACAAGAATTACCTTACTCTACCTTTTCCTTAATTATGCGTTATACAATAGTTTTCCTCGTTCCTGACTAACAGTCGTCTGCTTTATTCCGGGCCAACGAGCGCGAGCTATTTCCCAGGCGCATATATCTCTGCAAACTGTACAAATTCCAAATACGCTTGGAAATCTCACACACGAACAAGATCTAGAAGCCATTGCTAACGTTTCCTATTTCAAACGACCGAATCGGTACATCAGCGAATAAAACGATTAATTACCGTGATTCAACTTACTACAAACCCGCCAATATTTAACGACCGTACACATTCCAGTAATTAATCAAGGAGAGATACCCTCGCAAACTACAAACTGTCTTGTGATTTTGTTCTCTGATATAAATGTTCTTAGTAAAAACATACTCGTATGCGATTATTTATCCTATTTAAAACAGTTACTCTTTTAAAAGTAAAAGGTCAAATAATACTTTCGAATAATAAAAGACATTTTTATTTTTTGTTTTTGTTTAAGTTTTTATATTTTGACCATTAGCCAGATTTCACGTAATTATTTTAACAAAACTATGGAATTTAAACGTTGAAATACGTTCGATTTAGGTTCTTTTCAACCGAAAGAATGATTAGAAGTTACCGCTAAACGTGGCCGAGGATCTCATTCGCGTGCGGAATTAAATTCGAGTCTCACGGTAGCGTTCCGTTTCTTAGAGATCCCAACCGCTTAGATCTCCGCGTTCCTTTCGCGCAAAACTGCCGAACAGTTTAGTCGTTTCGCAGAATCTTCCTGAATTTCTTTTCAACGTAATACTTTGAAAGACACGCACGCGTGCGAACCACGTACGTTTCGAATCTTTACATTTAATGTATAATATGTTATACGTTATATTCGTTAAATTAAATATAAATCATCGTGAATTGTTGAAAACAAAAATTGTAAAATAAAATATTATCACATATTTCTTAATTATTCAATCGCGTAAAATACAATTAAAAATTCGTCTATATCTTTTACTCAAAATATCTCAATATTTCTTCATTTATTTTGAAAATAATTGCGACAGTTTATTTGCGATAATATTTGTAGTGATCGGATTCGATTGATATTATTATTTAATCATTCATTCATCAAATCACAATTTATAAATCGAATATATTTTTATTCGACATCCTTTAATATTTCTATTTGATTTTCACGAATAGAACAAGAAGAAACTTAGAAATAAATAATACAACAGTTTCTTTGCGATTTAATTTGGAGTGGTTGATTTGACTGATCGTGAATTCGAGTACCCAAGCTGGTACGTCTAGATCTTTCTCTCACTCTCTGTCTCTGTCTTTCTCTTTTTCTTTTCCTTTCGATCGGCGTTCGGGTACGGCAGCTTGAAGAAATATACACGGGACGCGAAAAGCGTCGCGGCGCTGGGCGTCCTGCGTTACGTCGAGTCCGTCGGAATGTGTAAATATACAAGCCGGCGAGAGACAAGCTTACGGGCGTTCTATATAAACGGCCACCCTGAATTTATAAGAAGCCGTGACTCTAACGGCCGAACCATGACGTCCGTACCAACTGTCGAAATCTCGCTAAAAGGCACCAAGAAGACAGATTTAGGAGTTTGGAGTTAACAACGTGAGCAAAAAATAAAATCTCACAATAGTCTACTCGAATCGAGACAGACACGACATCGATTAGTATCGAGATAAAGAAAGAATGGGATAACACGATCGAACCGAGGAGAATTAGCAACGGTGGGAGGGAGAAGGATACGATACGGCCTTGCTCTTGGTAAGGGAAAGGGGAGTCGGGAAAAACTGGTTCGACGTTCTAACGAGTTAACGCGCGAGAATTTGAATTTTTCATTTGCCAGCCACCTTACATGATTCACGCTGGAAAACTAGTTTCGTTTCTACCTTCTAATAACTTACGTCTTTCTCACGATACCTATATCGCACACATTCTCTCTATCCCATATTTAACATCATCGGTCAAAAGTTCGGTGTACCTTCATTTCATTTCATTTCATTTCATCGCAATATTATTAAAAATAAGAAATAAGAATGATTATATTTTTTCATACAGCAATTATATGAGATATATATTCCTAAATTTTAATTTAATTAACTTACCTTTCTTACAGTTACCATCACTGTCAACATCACATACCATTACGCGTTGTATTGATCATTATATTATGTTAATAGAAAATAGAGGCACGAAACTGAAATTTGGTTTCTCCGTTTGTTACGTAGGATTCGCAGAACGGCCCGGTGCTGGACCGATGGAGTATCTGCTCGGCTGAGGAGGAACCGCTGGTGTTGCAGCAGTTCCTCAGGTTCGCCGAGACGCGTCCGTTCGTGCAGCAGTTGCTGCTGGCCGCCGGAACGCCGGGGACGGATGCTATGTCACCCAGCAGACGACCTTCGCCTCCGACGATGCCACTAGCACACTTGCCACCGCCCTTGCACCTGCTCCACTGCGGCCTCCCACCGCCGGGTACGAGGTTGCAACCGCCACTGGCGCCACCCCATCCTCCACCCCCAGTCTCGCACCCCTCGATTTCGCCAACTACGCAGAAGCATTATTCGTCAGTTTCGACCGGTGGTAATCCAGGAGTAACGAGTAACCGAGGGAATTCGCCACCGAGAACTCTGGATTCTCATATGAACGTGTCACCGTTAAACAGACTACAAAGCATGCAACCCTTTGATTTTCGTAAACTTGGTACATTAGGATTGCCAGCGTTTACACCTTTACCACCTGTACCATCCACGGAGCAACTTTTACAAAGTCGAAAGTCTTTGAGAAATCCTCAAAGTCCGCACAGTCCGCCCCATCATTCGTCCAGCTCGCAATTACAGAGGCCTCACATGCCGGTGGCACCGGTATCTTCGTCTGCGCTTAACTTTGGTCATCCGCTTTCCGTAGCTGTTTCCTCGGGTACTCTACCACCTACCTTTCCCAGTCATTTTCCACCACCACCGCCGATGGTTAAGTCGACCGGTTCCATTGCCGGTCTGACAGCACCTACGGACGTTCACAGTAGCGGTGAAAAGAGCAGCGAGTTTGGCTCAGAGGAGGACGAGGATGACGACGAGAACTCCGATAGTGCATTGAACCTCAGCAGGCGTGACGCTGCATCTAAACACGTGGCAGCCGAGCACAGACATCCTCCACCCTTACCGCTCCAACCTGCACCTTTAGGAAGGCCACCTGGTATCCCCGGTAGAAAACCTCATTCTCCTGGGAAAAGACCAACGGGACAATGGGGTGCCACCGCCAACATGCCACCAAATCTAGGCACGCCCTTCATCAATCCGACCACCGGTAAGAAGAGGGTACAATGCAATGTCTGTCTGAAGACGTTTTGCGACAAGGGAGCCCTTAAAATCCATTTTAGTGCGGTACATCTCCGAGAGATGCATCAATGTACCGTCAAGGGTTGCAGCATGATGTTTAGCTCGAGAAGATCGAGAAATCGGCACAGTGCCAATCCTAATCCGAAACTTCACTCGCCACATCTCCGAAGGAAGATTTCACCTCACGATGGTCGTTCCTCAATGGCTCACGCGTTAGTTCTACCACCACAGGTTGGACTTCCCGTACCAGCAACAGGACTCAATCACTTGCCGTTTGGTTCTTTCCCATTGTTAACTCCACCATCCGAGCTGCGTTCACCAGCGTCCCTCTGTGCCTTGGATTTCAAGCATCTCGACCTGTCTTCAGCGCAGGGCCAAGGTAGACCTTACGAGGAACCACTTCAACAGAGAATGCCCGTCAGCACGGGTTTACCTAGTAGCACGGTTTCCACTACAGTATCAATGACTACGAGTTGTGGAACGCCTTCCGTTGCTGCATCTATGACCACTACTACAACGACGGCCAGAGGAGGATCGTTTTCAGGTGGTACAACCAGTTGCACGGTCTCACCATCGACGTCGATGATACCCGAGGGCGAAGAAGACGACGACGACGATGACGGTGGCATTGTCGTTGTCGCGGAAGACGATACGAGCGATGTACCTTCCAGATTGCATTCTCGTATAACTCAAGGCGATGAGGATGACGAACAACCGGCTGACTTCAGTTTAGCCAAACGACCAAAACTCTACTTCACCGATATGGCTGACGAAGAGAACATCAGTAATATCGATAGCAACGAAGACGACTCCGTGGGTGGCACCGATCAACATTCCTTTAGTGCTGGTCAACACGCCCTTAATTCGAATACCCTTCTCCACAGCAGGGGTGTACGCAAAAGGAAATCCCAACATCCAACGAGATGCGCTGTCTTAGCGGAAGTGCATTCCTCCTCGACGGACGGTGACTCCTCGAACGACGAGGAACGGGTTCAACGACGTATTATAACGGACGGTGGAATTGTTCCGGTAGTCGACGATTTCCAAAATCAACCGGAAGATATGTCGATGTCACGTCTCGAAGCAGAAGAACGTAAGGTCTCGCCAACCTCGCCGAAGAACCGAGATGCAAACTGCCGTAATTCACCGGAGACAACTTCGAACAGTGAACAAGAAGCCACAACGACGTTAGAGAACGTTCGTAAAGAAATAACGAAGGAAAATATCGATGATCTACCTCAGGACGAGCCGAGAGATCTCAGTTCGAGGGCGAGCAGCGTCAAGTCGCCTAAACGTCAAATCAGTCCAGAGCCACAATGTTTAAACGAGCCAAACGTTGAAGGTAACTCTACTACCGCGATCTGCGATTCGGCATCGGAATCTCAGGAACGGGCAAGACAAAATATCAAATTAGAAGCAGAAATGCAGGTTGTAAAGGGTGAGGACAAAAACGTGGTTGCGAAAAATGAATTGGATACGACGGAAGAGAAAATCGTTCGGAAAAACTCGGACGACTTTAGGAGGCGAGGAGGGGAAGAAGAGGAGGTGGAGGAGGTGGAGGAGGAGGAGAACGAGAGGACGCAGGACGAAGACGATGAGCCATTGGAGGAGGTCGAGGATGATGATGATGATGATGAGGTGGACGAAGCGCTGCGCAATCAGGAAGGTGAGCGTCCCGATGATCCCCCCCGTGCCCCGAGCTCGGTCGAGAGCCGTCCAACGACAGCTGACGAGCTCTCCCACGACTCCTCGACCAACACTTTGCGTCAACTCGAGTCCTTGTCGCAGGGTCGCACGATGATGCCGTACACCGAGACGCAACGGGTGGCTTCGAGGTCTGGCCGCGGCTCTACCAGCCCCGTCAGCCTCACGACGCACCAGGAGACCACCATGGACAACTCCTCACATGGCTCTCGTTCATCCAGCGCTTCTCCCTCCACAGCGGCCATGGATATGGACAATAGCCTGATAACCTACGCGAGATACGAGAATGGTGGCTTCGTCAGTACCCAGGAGGTTCCACTTGATCGTGACAATCCACGGCGATGCACGGCCTGTGGCAAGGTCTTTCAGAATCACTTTGGTGTGAAAACCCATTACCAGAACGTCCATCTGAAGTTGATGCACCGTTGCAGCGTCGATGGTTGTAACGCGGCCTTCCCATCCAAGAGATCCCGCGATCGGCACTCGGCCAATCTCAACCTTCATCGGAAGTTGCTCTCGACATCTTCGAGTCCACCTCTTTCATCGGGTAGCCTGCCATCCAGCTTGTCGCCGCGGGTCGAGGATGCTCCGATGAATTCTCTTCTGCACAACGAGTTTCTTGCGAGACTGTACGCTGACGCGGGTATCGGTGCTGCTGGGATCGGAGCTGCCGCTGCTATTGGTACGGGCATCGGTCCACTAGGGGCTTATCCTCTGACGCCAAGGCTTCCACCATCTGCGGTGGATCTAGCCGGCAGGATACCACCGCCACATCCGCTACTTTTACCACCTCATTTGGGGGCCACGTTTCCAGGCTTGTCCTCTTTTGCCTCACACCTGGCTGGTCTGAATGGTTTGACTCATCAACATTTAAACCACCTGACGAGATTCTCGCAGGAACAATCTATCAGACAACCCTCTCGCTCGGCCTCACCGTTATCATCTCCTGGCTCGGACGATAGAAAAGAGGAAGCCAGATGTACCGTACCAGGTTGCGATCGTGTCTTTGGTTCGAGAGCCGTTAGAGACGCACACTCGAGGGATCCCCAGGCTCATCGTGATCTGCCGATTCTATCTACTAGCGGCTCGTGACCGTTCTTTTGCCGCAAACGCGACTACTACCCCTTACTGTGATGCCAAAATCCTAAACGACGATTCCGATCGATCGCCGATCATGTTGATCTCCCAGGGTATCGTCCACCCGCACTATCGTCTCGCGCTAATCCACGTGCAATATAATCGAATAATAACATTTTCAAAAATATCGCTGATCTTTCGTTAAATCCAACTTCAACTTTGATTTTTCGCGTTCTTAAAAACTGTCTTTACTCAAATCGGCTATTCGTAAGATCTCAGAAACAATCGACGTGCTTCGAACCCTCCAATCTAGTCAACTTGATATCTCTATCGGTGGGTCCACAAGTAGATGACAATTTTCTCACAAAGAGAAACAACCCGTCCGATTCGTCAAATTTCGTGTTTTTATCTTCGCTTCGAGTCATTACACGATGATAATCAAATTTTCACAAAGTTTTTCCAGTGATATTTTTGAGGGTGTTTATTTTATTTAACAACCGCGCGAATACATTTAGCTTATAAAATACGATTTCTTTTTTCCCCTTTTCTCTCTCTCTCTCTCTCTATCTGTTTTTTCCAGTTTGCAAAGAATTTATTTATTTATTTTTTTTTTGTTTGTTCGCGGGTACCATAAATGTTACGAACGAAAAAGAGAGAAAGAGAGGGAGAGAAAAAATAAAGAGGAGTATCAAAAAGATCATTTGAAAGGAGGGCGCGAGACGGAAGAGGGGTGGACCGAAAATACCAACTCGGTGTGTTCGAGAAAAAGGCGTTCGCGTAGATCGATCCCCGGATCGATGGCGCGATCTAATTTTATCATCGTTGTGATAACGTAACGTTAGCGAATACGTCACTATTTAATCAATAATCAATTAGCACTGCTGTATATATAAACATAGTACCTTTCGGTGTATCGCGAATAATTATCGATTAAGCTACGAGGGAAGCGTGACCGATCGACGGAACGAACGTTTTTTACCCGAATATTGGGTAAATCAACAAAATCGTGAGATGAAGACTTTTGTGTAAAAGGGTTGTTTCGAATAAATGAGATATATAGGAACGACGATATTAAATTAGCGAGTTAAAAAATCGGAGCGATATCAAACGATACGTTGGCAGCTAGAGAAATTAATTATAAGTGAAAAGAAAAAAAAAAAAGCGTGAGCAAGAGAAAGAGAGAAAGAGAGAGAAAGGAATTAAAAGAAAGAAGAAAATAAAATCAACAACAACAAAATGCAATCGTTCAATATTAGAAAATAACAAATCGTGAGATGCGTAGAACCTTTCGACGTTCGAAGATCGAAGGTTGTCGTGCGATCGGTTAGAATATATGAAAGGAAGAAAAATAAAAGAAATTCAAAGTAATAAATAAATAAAGTGTGAGAGAGAGAGAGAGAGAGAGAGAGAGAGAGAGAGATAGAGAGAGAACAAACGATATTAGGAAATGAACCGACCAGCGAATCAAAGCGACGCGTGACGGCGACGTCTCGTGCTAGATAAATGAAAATAGATTTTAGAATTTATTTATTGTCTCTCATTAGGGAAAAAAATAATTCCTCGTTAACGCGAGGATATCCTATTACGGCTTATTACCATCTGTCACGATCAAAACCACTGGTCGCATGAAATGTGTCTCGTTTAATTTTTGTCCCGATTTATAATTTGCATCTTATTTTTATTGTAACGCGTAAATTTTCTTCTTTCTCTCTTCTTCGAATTTCTTCGTATCGGAGGCAGGAATTGTTTATTAAAATTTTGTTAATTGTTTTTTTTAATTAATTCTCTTGCCTGCGATTTTTAGGTGCCGATAGGTCGGAAAATGATATCACGAAAGTGGCTCACGAGAATGGTTCCTTGTCCTCCGTAATTAATTTGTTATACATATACTTTATTATATATTATAAATATTATATATAGATTATATATATATATATATACACACACACATTCGCATAATTTTTGCGAGCGCGTCGATGTAAGTCGCGACGACGTTTCCGAACGAAGCACGAAAACGTGTTAGTTTTTCTACGCGTCACACGATCCTAGGTTTTACACTCGTCATCGTCCTATCTTCCTCCTCTTCCTTCCTTCCCTCATATCCATTTCCTCTTATTCATCAAATCTTATATTATAACTATGAAAAATAAATTCCTTTAGGCCTGATAAAAAAGAAAAAAACAAATTTCCATCAACTTTCCGCGACGCACGACGAAACCCACTACTATTATGTGTTAAGGGCGAACGAGATTTACAACTCTGTAATTATGTATAAACTGAATGCTATGATGTATATTATAGATCGATTATAAAAAACACTCATCATTATAAAAATAAATGCCTATTAAAACTAACTGAATATGCGATTTTAGAATAAGTATCATTCGGAATCATCTACGAAAATAATCCTTTCCCGATCGATTATTATCATCATACATCAAATAATATTATTTCATTCGAAGTCATTCCAAATTTTTTCATATAATTTTAGTTAGAAAATTTTATTTCAAATAATAATATGTCTTTAGAAAATATTGATAACTTAACTTATATCCGTTGATTAATTTGCATAAGAATTAGAAGAATGGGGTTAGAAATTATTGCGATGTTTCATCAAAGTTCCCACGAGCGTTATTAGACCGAGGCAAATCATAAGATATAAAAGATCTTATGCAAAAATGAAAAATCTTCGGGGGTCGCCACGCCTACGTTGGACTTGACGCGTCTCTAACGTTCGAGGTACGAGTCCCGACCTCGTTTCCTACGAAACGCGAAGAGAAAGAGAAAGAAGTCCTTCTGAAAGGACTTCCAAGGGTCTGGGTAGGTCGTCTATCAGAGATCACGCAGACGTGAGCTCGCACGCCCACCATCCTGCGGGCAAGGAGAAAAGGAAGGAGAAAAAGAGGAGCACTAGGGAGGATGAAAAGAGGAGGTTGAGGAAGTTAAGGTGAAAGGGTTACAGGACCAGACTAAATCCTTCGCGAAATTCTTTCCTCTTCGGGTAATTGGAAGTGTCTTGAAATGGACCAACGTGGAACAACTTCAGGTTTGTATATATGTATTATATATATATATATATATATATATCATATATATATATATATGTGTATTTGTGAGTATTTGTAGGACGTGCGATTACACGTAAATTCGAACGGTACAAGAGTTAAACTCGTAAGAGAGAAACTCCAAGTTGCCGGCCTTTAATCGTCGTCAGGCAGATTAGATTAGCACCTTCGATTCCGCTTCGTGCTAACGTACGACCCGGCCGACTAATAACGGGTGCACTTCAAATCGCGTCTCGCATGGATTCCGAGCGTAACCAAGCCGAGCCGTTTTAATGGGCCGCGATTAAGTTCACGAAGGAGCGAGTTCACGTGTATATATATATATATATATATATATATATGTTCTCTGTCAGGACCAACATCTACTATAATATAGTTTCACGTTAACAATCAGAGAAATACAAATACAAATGTAAAGAGTGAGATATAAATAAGAAGAACATAAAATAGTTTATTAGAATTATTAGTAAAGTTTTGATTTTTCTTTATTTCCTTTTAGTTTTTATTACTTTTAAGGGTAGACTATAATAGTCTTTTGTAATTCGAGTCACTCGCAGAAAGTAAAAGCATCGGCAACGTGGAATATTTCACCTTCGTTGGCAAAATAAAGCCAAGAAAGAGATCCTTCACGATGTTTCTACGTATATACGTATGTAAGTATATATATATATATATATATATACTTATATATATATATATATATAAAGTAATAAATATATATAAAGATAGAAGGAAAGAGAAGAAGGGGGTACACCTCCCTGGAGGCTTAGTACACGTACTGACGGTACCAACGCAGGAGATAAATGGATTTGGCGTGCCTTCGACCTTAGCACGGCTGAGTAGTACGTGTACTCGTTCGACTAGGACTTCTCGAGTACCACTTCTCTCTCTCTCTCTCTCTCTCTCTTTCTCTCTCCTTCCCTTTCTCTCTTTCTTCCACTACTCCGGTACGCGCACGACAGGTGTAGCGTGGGAGAAGGAAAGTTGGAAGGAGAGAAGGCAGGTATATGTCGGAGAACGAAAAGTAGGAAGAACCGAGAGGAGGCAGATGAAGAAAAAGAAAGATACCAAGTAACAGAGAAAGAGAGAGAGAAGGAGAGATGGTAGAAAGAAAGGAAGATGGGAAAAGGAGAAAATGGTAGAAAGCGAGGATGTAAGAGAAAGAAAGAAAAAGAAGGAGAGAAGGCGGTCTCCGGTCAGCGTTGGCTCGCCCATCGATCCCCCTGCACATCCCGCCATCCAGCTCCCATACACCTTGCCTTATCTAGCCCCACCATAGCTCTCGCTTGGTCAACCGGTCACCTACGTTCCGACTGGCCACAATCTTAATACGAAAGACGAAAGACGGCTTCGATTGATGAGGATCGCGAATCGGATAAAAATGCAATTTTCGTCTTTCGATATCTTTTCAAATCCTTTCTTCTATTTGATTATCATTTTTTTTTTTTTATATACACATTCACCTCTACTCCCGATAAATTTGAAAATCTTCGGACTTAACAATATTATTGCTAATCATAAAGGAATTATACGAGAATTCATAGATCATCGGCCGGTGTTTAATGAAATGTTTTCATTGGATTGCACAATACGTCGAATGTATAATCGGTGGTATTTATTTTCTTGTAGAGATTTGAATCAGCTTAAAAACAGAGTTAGAGAAGAACACAGTTCTCGATGATAATTCGTATTTAAAAGAAGCATGAAACAGAATCTCATTTCAAGTGGCAGTTTCGATGAGATTCTAGTTCATAAGATTTCACCGGATTCCTTAGATTATACGCTTCCAACCCCCCGGAAGTCGAGCATCGAGATCTATACCGACATAGAATGGAAGTTGGAATATTATGGTTCGAGAGAGAAACGGGAGTTCTAAATCTTTCATTAAGCAGACAATCTTTTCGACACCTGCAACGTGCTCGATTATGTATTACGTGGCCGCCGGCCAGGAGATTACATATTTCATCGAGGGAATACGTTCCTTGTTGCGAGCGCGCGTGCACAATCACTACCAATACATAGAACAAGAGGACCTATGCTCGATCCTAACATAGAGATAGCTATCACATACGTTGGTATCAAAACGTCTTTGGTTCCCTAATCGAAGAGCAAACTAATCGTCGTGGTACGAACAGGTACGAGGGCTCATCCGTGTCCATACCTTTGACTGTCTTAGTATACTCTAAATACATGTTAGAACGTGGCCACTCGGCCGTTTAATCAGACGCCACAGGCGAGCTTCCATGTCGAACCGTGAATATCGGACTTTGGTATCTCGAGGAAAGAAAGAAAGAGAGAGAGAGAAAGAAATAAGATAAAAATCGCTACGGTAATTTCGGCATCGCGCACATGTCGTATCTCATCCGGTCTTCGATCTCTAACGGAATTAAACTCACGATCAAATTACTTTAAACAAGACGACTTAGAGGGTGGAAGAACGGGGAATGAAAAGAAAAAAAAGAAAAAAGATGATTCTATACATTTTATCTGGACTAACAATCAAAGCTCTAGTTTGTGATTTCGCGAGAGACAATAAGAACGTCGTTTTCTTTTCTATCGTTTTATCGCACCTGCTACGTTAGATAACAAATACTTGACTAATCGTACAAATTTATTTCTATCTATGCCATCAACGAAATCGACTTTCAATTTCCTAACCAATCGAACCAATTGTATGAACGTTCGATGTAACAATAAATTATGTTTTACCGTACCTTTATACCGATATTTCTCTCATGTTGATTAAATGTAAGTATTACGGAGAAAACAAAATGATTAGATGTTATCGAAGAATGATTATTGCATCGAGGCCGTGAGTTAAATTTAACCGAGTCCCATGGTAAAGTATTTATTCGAAGGAGGTTCTTTTTTTTCCCTTCGAAATCTCGAAAAGAAATCGATTGTCGTACACGACCGCAAAGCTTTTCCGGTGCGACCCTACGTCAGCTGGAGTGACATTGCACGCGATGAGTCCGAGACATCTGTTGGTACCAGCGAGCAAGCAATTGTCTGTCGCCGAACGTGACAAGTTCTCTCGAGTTGATCGCCAATCAACCGGCGACGTAATTTTCGTACTTGCGGCCAATCCGAGACACGCGAACGATTCTTTTTTTGTTGTACTTCGACAACCGATTCAAATCTCTTTGTTGTTGTTGTGTCGTCTTGACCGGTAAACTTCTCTCGCTTTTTCTTCTTCTTCTTCTTTGTGTTTTCGATCTGGCACCCCGTTCGAATTGTCTAACAATAAGAAGTATAAGATCAACGTACTAAAAACAAGAACAAAAAAG